CAGCCATCATCCCCTCATCCAGGCTGGCCAGGCACCCCAGTGGGGACCCCCACCCTGAAGGGTGTGTGACCAGCTGCAAACAGCCATCATCCCCTCATCCAGGCTGGCCAGGCACCCCAGTGGGGACCCCCACCCTGAAGGGTGTGTGACCAGCTGCAAACAGCCATCATCCCCTCATCCAGGCTGGCCAGGCACCCCAGTGGGGACCCCCACCCTGAAGGGTGTGTGACCAGCTGCAAACAGCCATCATCCCCTCATCCAGGCTGGCCAGGCACCCCAGTGGGGACCCCCACCCTGAAGGGTGTGTGACCAGCTGCAAACAGCCATCATCCCCTCATCCAGGCTGGCCAGGCACCCCAGTGGGGACCCCCACCCTGAAGGGTGTGTGACCAGCTGCAAACAGCCATCATCCCCTCATCCAGGCTGGCCAGGCACCCCAGTGGGGACCCCCACCCTGAAGGGTGTGTGACCAGCTGCAAACAGCCATCATCCCCTCATCCAGGCTGGCCAGGCACCCCAGTGGGGACCCCCACCCTGAAGGGTGTGTGACCAGCTGCAAACAGCCATCATCCCCTCATCCAGGCTGGCCAGGCACCCCAGTGGGGACCCCCACCCTGAAGGGTGTGTGACCAGCTGCAAACAGCCATCATCCCCTCATCCAGGCTGGCCAGGCACCCCAGTGGGGACCCCCACCCTGATCCAGGACACCCTTCAGGGCAAACCAGCCGGCCCCCAGGCCTCTATCCTATATAGTAAAAGGGTAATATGCCTCCCAGCACCGGGATCAGCATGACAGGGGGCAGTGCCCAAACCCCCTGATCGCCCTGCAGCTCTGTGTGTGACAGGGGGCGGGGCCACAACCCTCCTATCCGCCCTGCTCTGTGTGTGACAGGGGGCGGTGCCCCAACCCCCCAATCGGCCCTACCCTGAGCGTGACTGAGGGTGGCATTGCAACCTCCCGATCCGCCCTGCTCTGTGCATGACGGGGCGGCGCCCCAACTCCCCAATCGGCCCTGCTCTGAGCCTGACCAGGGGCTGCACTTAGGGATTGGGCCTGCCCTCTGCCACCCAGGAGCAGGCCTAAGCCAGCAGGTCGTTATCTCCCGAGGGGTCCCAGACTGCGAGAGGGCACAGGCCGGGCTGGGGGACCCCCCTCCCCCCGCCCCCCGAGTGCACAAATTTTTGTGCACCGGGCCTCTAGTCCTATATAATAAAAGGCTAATATGCAAATCAACCAAATGGCGGAATGACCAGTAGTTATCATGCGCACTGACCACCAGGGGGCAGACACTCAATACAGGAGCTGCCTTCCCGGTGGTCAGTGCACTCCCACAGTGGGAGCACTGCTCAGCCAGAAGCCTTGAGCCAGGCTCATGGCTGGCGAGCGCAGCAGCGGTGGTGGGAGCCTCTCCTGCCTCCATGGCAGTGCTAAAGATGTCCAACTGATGGCTTAGGCCCGCTTCCCGGGGAGCGGGCCTAAGCCATCAGTTGGACACCCCCCGAAGGCTCCTGGACTGCAAGAGGGTGCAGGCTGGGCTGAGGGACCCCCCACCCAGTGCATGATTTCTTGCACCAGGCCTCTAGTCATAATATAAGCTTCCTCTCTGGAGTACTCATACACTTTAAATTAATCTATGTTTATAGCATACAATTCACCCTTAAACAACATAGGTTTGAACTATGGAGGTCCACTTACACACTGATTTTTTTTCAATAAATATACAGCCATGACGTTTTCATATTCAAGTTTGGGACTTTTCAGATGTGGAGGCCTGATTGACTATACGCATTGTTCTACGCCATTTTTATATTAGGGACTTGAGCATTCAAAGACTTTGGTAGCCCCAGGTGTCTTGGAACCAATCCCCTGCAAATACCAAGGGATGAGGGTCCACAGAGAGTGATGAGGGAGTCAAAAGTTATATGCAGATTTTTTTTACTATGGGGGGGGGGCACTTCCAACATTGTTTAAGGATCAAATGTAATTATCAATTTGTTGAAATATAGTAAGAATACACCAAAGTGTATCAGTAAAAAACATGTCCTCCTCCAAAAATGGTGAGAGGCTCTCGGGAAACATCCAGGTTCAACATTCAGTTCCTAGGAGCCCTGCATCTCACTGGTAGAAAAAAGCAACCATGTTTATAAGCCTTTTTATTTTCCTTTTAACAATCTGTCAGTCTCCAGGAAAAACTCTGCTCAGTTACAAGTACATGTCAACACACACATCTCGTAGTAAGGATGTTCAGCTACCAATTACTCCTGGAAATTTGAATAAATTCTAAAAATATGTTCCACTCTGAAATACTTATCTGTTTGGCACTCTATCTGGGACACTTAATGGTCCATCAGTACAGTGTGTTAGACTGCAAGAACACAGTCAGACATAGTGCTTGCCTACGGGATTTGCCACTTAAACAGACAAGCAAAATAGATTAAACACTAAAACAGCAGTGTATGGAAGAAATAAAGTGGATCACTACCATTAAGAATGAGTATTTTTAAAAGTGATACACAATGCATAGCACAGCAGTACTAGGGCATTCCAAGATGCTTCGAAAAAAACTGTTTTGAAAAGAATATTAAGATAGATGAAAAAGAAGATGCTCTGACAACAAAGGTTATGATAAAAAGAAAAATTTAATTAAATGAGAAGACAATAATTTACTTTCAGTTGGAACTAGAGTGAACTTAGAAATTGTTCAGTCTCATTCCCATCCCCAACCCACTGAAACATTTTCCCTAAAACAAGATCATTTTATCTCTCTTTGAACATTATTAGAAACATGTCTATTGGATGGATGGATGGATGGATGGATGGATGGATGGATGGATGGACAAACTCAGTATGGATATTCCTTAAAGCAAACCACTTAAGCCCTAGCCAGTTTGGCTCAAAGGGTAGAGCATCGGCCTGCAGACTGAAGGGTTCCAGGTTCCATTCCAGTCAAGGACACATACTTCAATTGGCAACTCTCACATCAATGTTTCTCTGTCTCCTTCCCCCCTCCCTTCCATTCTTTCTAAAAATCAATGGAAAGATATCCTTGAGTGAGGATTAACAAAAAATAAATAAAGCAGTGTTTCCAAAAAAATAAAGTAAGCCACTTAATTTTGAAAAACTTTATTTGTTGAAAATGTTTTTCTTACATTGATTTTGCCTCTTCTTAACTTTCTGTATAGATCCTAGTTTTGCTGTCCAGTAAAAGTAGGAGAGCCACAAAGGTGAATCACATAAGTAATTTTAAGTTTCTACCAGCCACATTAAAAAAGTAAAAGAAGCAGGTGATTTTAATTTTAATAATATATCTATCAGACTAAGTATATCCAAAATATTATTTCAACATATAATCAACATAAAAATATAGATTATTTTACATTTTTATACTGTCTTTGGAGCTCCATATGTATTTTTTATTCTTTCATTGCATCTCCATTTGTACTAGGCACATTTCAAGTATTTGGTAGCCACACATTGCTAGTAGCTATTGGACAGCTGAGTTTTAGACAATAGCTGGACATTAGAATTTCAAGAAAAAATTTCAAAATATAGATTCCTAGGACTCACCCCAAGAAATTCTGCTTTAGTTAGTTTAGAAGGGCTAGGGAGTGTTTTTAAGAAGGCAGTTTTTAAAAAGGCAGTTAATAAACCACTGACCGAAAAAAGAATTTTTTTTAATAAACAATAAACCACTGACGGCCAGGCTGACATTTGGGAATCACTGCTCTAGAACAACACAAAATAAATCTAAGTTCCCCTGCACGTGATTGTCCTCCCAATATTAAAAAATAATAATGGTCACATCTCTGATGTCTTTTATTCTCCAGGCTAAAAATTCCAAGCTCTAACAACCTTCCCTCATCTGACATGGTTTTGAAAACTTTTCACTTCCCCGGTCTCTGTCCTCTGGATCCACTCCTGTTTGTTTCATTTATTTACATTGTGGAGAAGTGCCATAGCATAAATAATCCAAATTAATCCTTGTTTGCCCTTGGAATGTTTCTCAGTACTTTCATATGAATATGAGTATCAAATTCACAAAACTTTAAACTCTCACTGTGGACAAGCATTCCAGATGTCCAGGTTCTACATGCTGCTGTTCCCTCGGGGGCCCACTTCATCTCAGGAGGAGAAGAGCCCTCTTAGAATAACTCAGAGCACTGAGTTAAACAGAACTACCTTTCCCCCGTGCCTCTCAATCCTCCTACTTCTTCTCATGACTAGAGAAAAAAGGAAGTGTTTTGATGTAAAGAAGAGCTCTTCTGCCTTTGTTAAAGTTATATAAATATAAAACATAATAATTTCACCAAACCAAAGTCAGATTTGCCACGAATAAATGGACTCAATTCAGTGCCACAAATATCCACTCACTGATGGCTTACTAAAGCATTCCATGTGTGCCACCATGATAGGCCAGGAGTCACAGGAATCATCAAGGCAGAGTCCCAGGCCTCAGAGTCCCGATCTAGTCAGCAAGACAAGTATATTCACGTGACAAATATTTATGAAGTTCTACTACTGCTAGACACTTGTGTTACATATCAGTGAAGAAAACATTCCAAAAAACCCTTGCCCTTAGGGAGCTTACTTTCTAGCAGGGGAGACAGATAATAAACAATTCAAATAATAAATAAGTGAATTTATATGCTAAATATGAATTTAGCAATAAGCATGTTAGATGATAAATATCATAGAAACTAACAGATAAGAAAAAGGGGTATCAAAAATACTTGTGGGGTGGAAGACAAGTTGAAATTTACTCAGTGGTCAGAGTAGCCTTTAAGAAAAAAATTGATATACGAGTAAACATTTAAAGGAAGGAAGGAGGAAAATGCAGATATCTGGAGGAGGAGCGTTCCAGGAAGAGCAAACAGTGCAAAAGCCTTGAGGCAAGAAAGGGCCTTGTCTATTTGAGGAACAGCAAAGACACCAGTGGAGTTAAAGCAAAGTGAGCAAGAGAGAGAGGACAGATTAGACCAGAAAAAAATACTGTGTTGACAGTGAGAGCATTCACACAGGCATAAAAAGAAGTTTTATTTTGCTGTAACTGATTTGACTCAGTGGATAGAGCGTCAGCCTGCGGACTGAAAGGTCCCGGGTTCGATTCCAGTCAAGGGCATGTACCTTGGTTGCAGGCACATCCCCAGTGTGGGATGTGCAGGAGGCAGCTGATCGATGTTTCTCTCTCATCGATGTTTCTAACTCTGTCCCTCTCCCTTCCTCTCTGTAAAAAATCAATAAAATATATTTAACCAAAAAAAAGTTTTATTTTGAGTGAAATAGGCAATCACTGAATGTTTGGGACAAGGCAGTAACTCAATATGTATTACATATATATGTATGTATATATATATATATAAAATAGAGAGTTAGAAACATCGATGAGAGAGAAACATTGATCAGCTGCCTCTTGCACACCTCCTACCGGGGATGTGCCCTCAACCAAGGTACATGCCCTTGACCGGAATCAAACCTGGGACCTTTCAGTCCACAGTCCGACGCTCTATCCACTGAGCCAAACCCGTCAGGGCTGATTTTAAAAGGGTTCTGGCAACTATGTTAGAAAATGACTCAGACTCCATGGTCCGGCCAGCATGGCTCAGTGGTTGAGCTTTGACCTATGAACCAAGAGGTCATGGTTAGATTCCTGGTCAGGGCATGTGCCCAGGTTGTGGGCTCAATTTCCAGTAGGGGACATGCAGGAGGCAGCCAACCAATGATTCTCTCTCATCATTGATGTTTCCATCTCTCTCTCCCTCTCCCTTCCTCTCTGAAATCAATAAAAAATATTTTTAAAAATATATATTCCACTATGTGGAAGCAAGAATATAAGCAGGAAGACCACACAGGAGGCTAGGGCAGTAATCCAGATGAAGGATGGTGATGGCTTGGACCAGAGAAGTAGCAGCAAGAAAAAGAAAAGCCGTCAGAGTTTTTATATAAAAACTAGAGGCCCAGTTAATGTAATTCATGCACTCAGGGGTGGGGGAGTCCCTCAACCTGGCCTGCGCCCTCTCGCAGTCTGAGAGCCCTTGGGGGATGTCCCACTGGCAGTCAGACATCCTTAGTGCTGCCGCCAACTCTCCTGCCACTGCAGCTGCGCTTGCCAGCCTTGAGCCCAGCTTCTGGCTGAGCAGCCCTCCCCCTGTGGGAGCACACTGACCACCAGGGGACAGCTCCTGCATTTAGGGTCTGCCCCCTGGTGGTCAGTGTGCATCATAATGACCAGTCGTTCTGCCGTTCAATCAATTTGCATATTAGCCTTTTATTACATAGGATTACCAATGATACAGTGAGGTGGTTGTTTTAATAGAGGATGCTAAGAGAGCAAAGAGAAAGTAACAATAATTCCACCAAAGGAAAGATTTGTAGTCAAAGTGTTATCTTAGCTGAGTCCTGAATGACATGTAAAAGCTCATCAGGAAAAAGAACCCGGAAGAACCTAGAGAAGGTACCTGGCAGGGAGCTGGTAGTTGTCAGGAGAAATACAGAGCATGATCCTTCCCCTAGAGAACTGACAGTCTCAGAAGAAGGGCAAGACAGCAAATCACTTAAAAACCAGAGGCCCAGGTGCCACTTGCATAAAAATTAACAGAGGGACATTGGGCTGCAGAAATAAACAACAATGTCAGCGAGACACTCAAGAAAAGGAGCCAAAGAAGTGGCAGGAAATGTAGGGAAAGTGAGTCCAATTCAGAAAGGGCTCACAGGACCACCCAACGGTTCTGTCAACATTGCACCTGCCCTTAACCGCCATGCAAGGTTTCCAGAAATCCTACCCTCCACCACCAGCTCCCACCAACAGACCACACCAGTACCTTGCCAAGAATTCCAAGATCACTCTGACAGGTACATCAACTGTGTTATCTGTCTCTCAAAATTCCTAACATTTCTCCCCGTAACATATACTCAAAATCTAAGGTAAATTTTAATATGCTTGAAAAGTAATGTGTTGGGCGACTACAGAGGAGCTACACTCTGAATTTCCTGTTGTTGCTTTTCTCTCTGCTCCTCCCCACTTCCGAAACTGTGATAGAAGGGCAGATTATACTCCTTCCTCTCCGAATTGGCCACTCATTCTCATCCTTCTCTACCCAAATCCGAATATCCCCTTCTCCCCAAAACCAAAACAGCCAAAATAGAACAGAAGATGCTTCAGGGCCAGTTTCTCCCCTGCTCCAGTTTACCCTCACCTGTCCTCCCCTTGTCACATGAAAGTTACCTTCCCTTTGCTTCTCAAAAAAAAATCCACCATTACTGCCTGGGAGCCCCTAAAAAAATGCAAGTGGGCATGACCTGGTGCTAATTCCAAAATAAAAACAATATTTAAAATATAGTAAATGTTTAGTAAATGTTAGGCACAGTTTTATTCATGTAATCTACACATCAACCCTAAAAAGCAGTACTGTTGTTTTCTCAGCTGAAGGGGAGATCAGTAACAACATCAAGTTCACACAACTAGTGAACAAAGGAGACAAGATCTGAACCCAAGATGTCTCATTCTGAAGTCCACACTACTATTACTGCACATCAATATAAACTTAGAATTACCTCCATCACTTATTTCTCTTTGTCTACATCTGTAGAGAGTGACCTTTCGAGCAATGGTTTACTGTCCTCATTCTAACTCTTCCCTCTGTAGGGAGAGACCCAAGGTCGCCAGGGTTCCCCATACCTTCCCCAGAATGAAGACTGTTAGCAGAGGTGCCATCAAGAACAACTCAAAGTATATCTGGCCAAGTGCCCAGATCCTGGAAGCTGGCCAAATGAGAAAGGGAAGAGTCGTGCTCCATCATTTTTCCCAGCATCTCTCTCCCTAATTCTTTTTAATTACAGTGGTCAATACTCGAGTTTCAATGAATATGAGTTTATACAGTGAAGCAAAAGCTACCATTAAAAATATATCCACTAACAAACTGTTTGCTTATAAAATGAGTTTCTACATAGACTGGCATCTATCTCTTCAATGTAAATTTTAAACTGAATCCCAGCAAAAGAAGAACATTTTCATGAAGCCAATAAAATCATTATAAGAGAAGTGCTCAAATGAAACACAAAGACACCAACTTATGATGATCTAACGCAGGTACATAAATTTTAAACATGAAAAATTAAAAATTGTATAAGAATTATGCATATCTTAAAACAATGATTTCACATGGAAGGGTTAAGACAGAGTTCTCAGGTATTTTTGCAAAAACAAACAAGAATACCCAGCACTTGATTTTACCCTATTTCTTCTTATAATTAGCTCAAGATAATTACCTACATTTTGTCATCTATAGACTAGAACATTTAATTTTCATATTTTCTAGTTTCACTCTTAAGATAAAATCCCAAATTTGGGGTACTTTTTTAGCCCTGTAATAATTTATGTAGATATCTTCCTTCTTCCATTACACTTTGGGTCCCATCCTTACACACAGAAGCAGTGTAACAAATACTTTATAAGTTGAAGTAAAATCAACAGGAAATATCACACCATAATGCCTTAATGTCTAATACCTAAGTTATCAGTAAGCAGGTATTAAATTATGAACAAATAATAACGAGAATGGGAAAGAGAATAGATGTCTGTAAGAATGAGTTCTGGGACCAGCATGAGGAGAATGAGCTGAGGTGGGGGCGGAGGGAGAGATAAAGCCAAAGAAAGGCCGGGGTCCTTCATTTCAGCTGCTATCCAGGGTGCACCTCAGCCATGACTTACAAAGTTGTCTACTTGCCAGAGCCCGTCAATATTGCTCCAGCTCCTCCCAAATCAAGCCTAGTTGGCATCCTGCAGAGATCCCTGGCACGTTTTTAAAAAACTATATTAATTTGAGAGAGAGAGAGAGAGAGACATCAATTTGTTGTTCCACTTATTTATGCATTCATTGGTTGCTTCTTGTAAGTGCTACAACCAGAGATTGAACCCACAACCTTGGAGAATTGGGACAACACTCCAACCAACTGAGCTACCCAACCAGGGCCCTGGCACTTTTGACAGGAGACTTCTAGTTATGCTTGCCTCTGTCCGTAATTATGACTACCACACTCACTTGGTGCCAAACACCAAGTTAAGTGCTATCCATTCTACTTCCAAAATATTCATGCTTTCTAATTTTTCCCCTTCCACCTCACCTCTGGATTAACCTTTGGGAGGGGGGGGTTATATTTTTGAAATAAGAATTCAATAAAAAGACCCAGCAGTTGATTATACTCTCTTTGTTCTCAGCATGAGCTCATAGTTAAATGATAACGGGAATCCCTTAAAGACTCAGAATTTAGTATGAAGATTCTGACTTTACGTGGAAGAAACCATTGTAAGCCCCAAATGACTAGGAAAATTTTAATTCAGTAGTTCAAATTTCTAACCACTCTACAAATACACTCTCATGAATAGTTGTGGAGGACTGAAAAAAAAAGTTTAATTCAGTTACAAACAAATGAATGTCAATGTTTAACATATATACTACTTACCTATTGCTGCTATAAAAAATCACCACAAACTTAATGGCTAAATCAACATAAATTTATTATCTTGCAGTACTGGAGGTCAGGAGTTTAAAATTAATCTCATTAGGCTAAAATCTAGATGACTGTAAGGCTACGTCCCTTCTGGAGGTACTAGGGCAAAATCTATTTTCTTGCTTTTTATAGCTTCTAGAGACTGCCTACATGCCTTGGCTCATGACCACCTTCCAATTTCAAAGTCAGAATGACCAATCTAGTCTTTCTCATTGTACCACATTGTATCACACTGACACTGACTCTTCCACCTCCCTCCTCCATATTTAAAGGACCCTGTAATTACATGGGCTCCATCCAAATAATCCAAGATAATCTCCATATTTTAAAGTCAGCTGATAACAAACTCAATTTTTTCTGCAACCTTCATCTCCCCCCACCCTCCCCATTGCCACACAACATATTTATAGGTTCTGAGGATTCAGTACGTGGACAGTTGGAGGACCATTATTCAGCCTACCAGTCTGGCCTTTACCCCCAAAGATTCACTTCCACCCCACATGC